ATGGAACTGGAATAGCATATTTTTGTTTATCTCATGCCAGAGTAAAAGTTCACATGCCAAAAATCAATCCTGGTCTCTATAAAGAAGTTGCGAGAAACCATTTGTTATCTGGCATTTTCATTGGAATCAAGACACCAAAAAGGAAAGTTATCTAAGAGGATTGATATCTCACCTGTGTCTATGAAGAAAATGTCGGAAGATACCTTGTGTTTCTCAGAGCTAATTTGAATTAGTTACCTTTTTGTTTCTTGTTCTTTGATACTTTTTTTTATCCTATAGTAAAAGCAGACATGCTCTTTGGACATCGGCTGCTTTCTGCACATACAGCATTTCTGCACATCACACAAACATTGAATTTTTAAACTCTACCTGGTTCTAGTGTATGCTAAAGTTAAGTCTTGATAAATCCTTTAATTTTAAACACTAGACTGTGTACAATTTTCATTTAATCCTCTGCCAAGGCTTATCTATTATTCTGCTGACTGCTTTACATACATTTATTTCCCTTTCATCTTTTTAAATTCTGCTTTATTTCTTACAGGGGTTTGACTAGGACTTTTTTTTCTTCTCTTATCTCAGGACTTTGCATGCTTGTCCCCTCCCGTCCCTTATCCCATGTTGACAGCACAGTTGAACTCAACGCACATTTACAACTGCAAATACTCTGTTGTGAACAACTGACTTCTGTAGCTACTACCCTAGGTACTCACAAACATCCACATTTCATTATAGCTAAACTGATTGGTAGATGTTAGTTATCCTTCTTTTTATAAATAGAGAAACTGAGAAATGAGGAGAAAAAAGGGGGAAAGGGGGACACCACTGTCATGGTTTAAACCCAGCAGGCAATTCAGCCATAGAGGCCTTACACACTTCCCTCCCTTCCTCCCCCCACTCCTGGAGGAATGAGGAGGAGAATCGAAAGAATGCAATTCCCACGGGTTGAGATAAGAACAGTCCAGTAACTAAGGTATAACACAAACCACTGCTGCTACCACCAATAATAATAATGATAAGGGAAATAACAAGGGAAGAGAATACAACCGCTCACTACCCACGGACCGATACCCAGCCCAACCCCAGCAGTGATCTAGTCCTTCTGTGTAACTGCCCCCAGTTCTACATCCTGGGTATGACATGCTGTGGTATGGAATACTTCTTTGGTTACTTTGGGTCAGGTGTCCTGCCTCTGCTTCCTCCCGGCTTCCCCTCCTCCCTGGCAGAGCATGAGGATGAGAAAGTCCTTGGTCAGGCTAAACATGACTTAGCAACAACTAAAAACATCAGTGTTATCAGTGCTGTTCCCAGGCCAAAAGTCAAAACCACAGCACTGCACTAACTACTAAGAAGGAAAAAAATGACTGTTACTGCTCAACCCAGGACAACCACACACATCAAAACAAACAAAGAAACAAACAGACAAAACCCCACATAACTGCATTCTGTGGAATCTTGGTGGCACAGGCTTAGACTGCACTGACTGAACAGTTTCAGTAGTGTTTCATAACTCTGCTCTGTCCAGGTCTTTTTTTATCTGAAACCTTCTCATAAAGAAATCACTCTAGCACAATTAGCTAGAAATATATTGCATTGTGATATATAGAGCAGGTATTAGAAAAGGTATTTGAGTATTAAAACAGACTCCAAAGGAGGTGAGATCATGAGAGAATAAGGATATATTGGACGCATATATGCCAGACTGATTCAGTCTTACTGCTCTAGGAAGAAATGGGACTAACAAAGAACTATTCAACATTCTTGGGTGCAGATGTTAATTAGGTTGGTCACACCATATAACTTTTAGACCCATAGCCCTTCCAGTGAATTAGAGAACTATCCCTAGCGTGCTGCTTTTGGCTGGGATAGAGTTAATTTTCTTTATAGTAGCTGGTATGAGATAATTATTATGCGCAATGGAGCCCTGTTTTCTTGGAGATGGCTGATCACCTGCCTGCCCATGGGAAGTGGTGAATGGATTCCTTATTTTGTTTGCTTATGCATGCATGGCTTTTGATTGACCTTATGATGACCTTTATCTCAACCCATGAGTTTTTACACTTTCACCATTCCTATTCTTTCTCACATCCTACTGCAGGGGAGTGAGTGAGCAGCTATGTCGGGCTTAGCTGCTGGCTGGAGTTAAACCATGACATGCAGCTAAGCCAGAGAGTGCATGTTGGTCTTTTCAGTGTCACAAAATGAGTTTGTATTGCCCATAACCTCCCTCTGCAAGCCATTAGACTGAAGGATCAAACCTTGCTTTTAGGCATAAATCATTTCCCAAGTTAGTGAATTACCAACTTTTTTGGCTCTTGTGGGAAGCTTGCACATCCATTAAGAAGAAGAGCAGGACTGGTATTTCCTTTTGTCTCCTGGGACATGGTATAGTATTACTGAATAATACCAGGTTTGAGTTGTTTAAGTTTGCAGTTAGACTGCCACAACCTCTTCAGACTCAAAATACAAAGCAGTTTTGGCATGGCCCTCAGTACCCGGGGGTAAGGCTATTAAATTAATCACTTTTTATCCAGTTACGTTTAAAAAAATAGCAGCTACAAATAAGTGTTTTGTTGTCCAGGGAGCAGGCTCAGGATTGAGGAGCAACTGGAGAGGAATCCAGTTTTTGAAACTAGGCATATCTACAATGTGAATGCCTATTTCCTTACACTGCTCTTACTATGAAGCCCCTGGGCATAAATAAGAGCATTCTCATAAAAATAAGTAATTTAAAATAAAATACATACGCGACTTTGGTGATGGGCTTGGGGGTTGAAATTAGAATTTCGGGTTGAGTTGTTTAGTTTTCAATAAGCACCCAAGTCATTTTTGCCCCAGACTCAGTCAGTAGCAGGTAAAGGCACTTGGCAAATGTCCTGGGTCTGCCACTCTGATTAAGATTAGAACATATGTTTTTTTATTGGCATACAATACATTAGTTTGCTATGAAAATAGCTACCTATAAAAATATGAAGGATGAGATAAATTAAAGAAATCTATATAGGTGGGTAAAGTGATTTGCAGAATATTGCCTATGAGTTAAAAACATTATTTCAGAGAGTTTAAATGACAAAATGGTTTCAGATGGATTGGAATTTAATTAGCCACTTGTGTGGGCTGAGATGCAAAGAAACGTGTTTGATGCTTTTGATTTAGAATGAAGTCATCTGGCCACTGGGTGTCATCCTTGATTCAGATGACAGCCAAAGACTTTTTAGATGCAACATAAAACCTGCAACTTCAGAGCAGTTAAATTTCACTCTATTTGATTGTACAACATACAGCAAATTGCTCTGCATTTAAATCAGCTATAAAATTGAATACTTTGACACAGACAAATTCTCCTTTGTCTCGCTGCCTTATTTGGAGACCTGAAACAGCTAGTTGATGCATAAAGAAAGAAAAGTAATGCATATTTACTACAAACAATTTGATGAATGATTATCAAATCTCAGGAAATATGGAAAAAAAGAAAATAAATAATGCAAAGAGTCTATGCAGGAAGTTTGGAATCATATCCTTAATTGGGCCCCAGGCTAAAAACCCTGTTTCATATGGGCAACTATTTAAGACATTCAGCATCCAGATTCAGTGCACAATTTAATGGCTGTGTATGAAGAAGCTGATACAGGAATAACTAATTTAAGCTCTTACCTACAGTACCCTCACAAAAGTTGCAAAATTTCATCAGGGAGTCAAAAAAACTCAGAGTCCTTGAGATTTTCTTCATACTTCCTATTGCTGTTCTGTGATTTCTAGCTGGCCCACATTGTTTCACTGCTCAGCAATCTTCCCCATCCCCACAACCAGGACCCAGAGGTGTGGACATAGGAGCAATGCCCACACCTGGCAAAAAGGGAAGCAGGAAAAGAAAAAAACCAAATCAAACCCCCAAAAACCAACACAAACAAACAAAATCCACAATGCCTTTCCAGAAGAAGTATCCAGATATTTGAAATATTTTGCCAGTGTTCACATACGAGGATCAAATCAGTTTACAACAGATCATATGTCATCGTAATGAGTTTTCTGGTATGGGTGACTAAGAAGAACTTATCAGCATTATTTCATTATCTCCTGGGAGTCTAGACAGTCTGAAACCAGCACACAGTATAGTGAAGTTTTTCATTGTAATATTATTTCTCTCTGAAACCTGATTTAGTTTGCTTTCTTCAAGGTAAAATAAAAGTAAGGGCCAGCAATTTCTTCAAGCATTATAGCCAGAAAGAAATGTTTATATTTGTCAGTGCATTAGAAGCATTAATCCTACTGTTCTTCATATATATATGTAAAATGTAGTCATATAACATTTTAAATAAGGGGGGGGGGGTGTTAATGCAACTAACCTCAGCTGACAGCACAGCTTTTCACGGATTATGCAGTCTTTGAGAACACATATCTCTATGTAATGCTTCCTAGCTTTACCAGTGGATACAATTTTAATATAAGCATGCCAGTATTAAAGAGCTATTAGACACACAGTTGAAATTGTCTTCGATTTTGTTCACCAGGAAAAGACTTCCATAATTTTTAAAAATCCATTTTTAAAAGAAGATGTTAAATATTCTCTTTACATTAAACAGTCTCATAGGCGTGATTTAGGTTACTTGGGTTTCGTATTATAAGCATTCTCATTTATACTTAGGTTAGAGCTGTTAGCAGACTTCAAGAAGGAAATGCATTTAAGATGTGAACATGTACCTTAACAACTTCAAAATTTACTGAAATTAACATAAAACAACCCATCTGAGGTAACAGTCAGATAAATTATCTAAGCTTGTACTACTCTTTTCATTACTAGAATAAGTCAGTAAAAAATATTACTTCAATGACATTTTTTGAAACAGGAAATTTCTTCTTTGTATGTATACATATCTGCATACCCACATAGATACAATTAAGAACCTTTACACCTTTTCACTTTTAAATCTGAACTCAAAGGGAAGTCATTTTTCCATTTGAACTTCACAACATCTTTTATTTGGGTATAGAAAAGTACTTACACTGGTTTAATACTTCGGGAATGCTTCTCATGAATGTAGGCACCAGCAATGCCACCTGCTCCAGAATTTAAATACTGCAAAGAAAAAACATGTACACTCTTCATGCTCATTATCTGTAAAGTATAGCTTTACTTCCCTCATCCTGCTTTATAAAACAGACCAATTTTAACAATTCTAGTGTTTTTTAACTGGAGATCTTCGCATTTGTCTCAAAGTGCTGATGTACATAAAAGCAGATATATTTTTTCAGATTAGTCCTAAAAATATCTTTCTTGGCTTACGTATGATAGTTGAAGTCTAACAGACAAAAGGTTAGAAAATTGAAGTATGGCTGAAACAGTCCCATGCCAAAACGCATATAGCAGTCATCAAACAATTCATCTGACTGTGTCTGTTGGTTCTTAAACTCAGGAGAAGTCAAAAGAACTAAACATACCTTGTTTTATCATCTGAAATTAAGTTTAGACAAGAGTATTCTCTTATTTAAGGACTATTTAACAAAAGCTTATAGCCACAAGACTTTCTCTGCATGACAAATAAAAGAAATGCCCCTGATACTGTGACTGAAGACCAGAGTGTGCTTCAGAGCAGATGTTTAACCACCACTAGCATCCATCTCACATCCACAAGACCTTTCAGGTCGTTGATACTGTTACCTTTTGGACATCTCATAACAAAGTCAGTTTCCATGTCCCCAGTGGGACTGGTTCAAACATGTATCCAAGTCTTGATTAACAGCTAAGGTGCAGTTCTTATTCATCTGACCTGTTTGCTGACCCATCATAAGTGACATTATGGAAAATAGGCTCAAACAGTGAATCTATTTTACCTTGTAGGAGCACCAGCATGCAAAGTCTACTCCCCAGTCATGCAAATGAAGCTCTACATTCCCAACAGCATGAGCCAGGTCAAATCCAACAAAGCAGCCCTGCAGAAAAGAGATTAGTAATATGCTACTTATCAAGATAATCATCACTATAGAAATATTTTGAAAAAAACATCTTTAGAGCTTTACTTGCTCCCTATAAAGTCCCATCTGTTTTGCATTATTACTAGAAACAAGTTTTCTATACCATAGGTATCTGTAGAAACCATGAACTGTTTAGAGGGCTTATATTCAGGAATGATTGGATGTGGTTTAGAGTCCTAAGTCTTTTCTCATGCAGTAAAGTGAAATCACTTGAAATAAGTATTCAGAACAATTTCAGCCTGTTGTATGGCATGACAAGCTCTAGGCAGAGACAAAATACTAATGATGTCAATATTCATGAACAATTACATTCTACTATGTACTTATACTTAAAGACTCCCTGGTATTTAAACTGTGAGGATCTTGCTCTTTGGGAATCCAAATAGGTAAGATGCAAAACATTGACCTTAAACATTTCTGTACTTTTCCCTAAAAGGTTACATAATATTCTGTCATTTCTCTGAAAACTGTTGTATTTGTCACGACCACAATTTGCATAGGGCACTGGGGAGAAAAAAAAATAAATATATATATATATATATATATATATGTGGTCGCTATATATATATATATACACATAAAAGGACCACAGATGTACCTCAAAAAGTAGCAGTTTTGTACACAAAAAACCACTGGATGGCAGTATTTTTAAACTAAAAAGTTCTGTCAAGCTTTGCTATTTATTTAAGCACAGGAAAATAAAATTGCCTTTTGTGCCAGGACTACAAATTAAATGCTATTTTGCATTTTGCTTTTAAAACACAAACAGCTTGCTTGCAAGCAGCATGGCAGGACTAAGAGTGAGAGCACAGACTGCAGAAAAATTCATGTCCAATAATAAACCAGAGGATTTTAAGAATCTCTTGCTGTTTCTTGCACAAAGGGAGCCTTAGCTAAATTATTTAATCAGTTCTTTTGTATATTTAATCTTCTGTATAAACTAGATAACAATTTGAATGAAACAGCATTTTAAAAAGATATGACACACTAATTCTAATGGAGGTATTGGTGAAGTTATCAGCTTGAGAAGTCACTCCAAAATGATGGGAAGAAAACTCACTGCCATGGCAGTTTCATGATCTAAACATTGGAATCAAAGTTCCAATAAATAGCCCAGCTTTCACATCCTTGGTGGCTTGTCTTCATAGGGACACACACACAAGTGAGTTAAGACAAATCAACTAAATGGTGAAGCTAATGCAGAGAAGCTGAAGCACTGAATGCTCATGGGAATGCTCTTAGAGATAAAATAGCCTTGGTTCTGCTACAGCAAACTAAAGACAATCTGCGAGAGAACAAGAAGATTTTGTAGGCTTTTAAGGAATTAACTTCAAAATTTCAGTTGACTGGATTTAAACATTTACAGGTATTAGTTTTATCTGTAAACTCAACATGCACAAACTTTCTTGGGCACTGACACTGGCTGGAGTAGACCAGCTTGCACCCACACCGTGGGCTTATAGCCCTCAAACAGGAGGGCCAACAACATACCACCATCTTCTTGAACCTCTTTAACTTCTCCCCAGCACTTTGAAATTGGTTGGTAAGTCTTCCTGGACACTATTTAACTTACTAATAAAGCTTAGCCTGAAAATCTGGGTTCATTGCTGCCAGGTTTCCTGCATCATCTCAGAAACACTTGTACCATTTCATTCAAGTCATCATCTGTAAGTTGGGTCGTGCTGGCTTGCTTTCCCTGGTAGGTGTCTGGCACTAAAGTCACACAAACAGCAAATGTTTAGCCACACAGATTGCATGGAAAAAGTAAAACAAACTAAAACAGCTCTCCCTGCACAAGCCACGCAGAACAAGGACTGCGTGGGAGTTTTGCTTCCCCAGACTAAGGGGAAAACAGAGCTTTCCATCTGCTCTGGGCAAAGAGGAGGACATGTGTTCTCCCCTGCATTTTCCGTTTTATTCTAACATCTAAAAGTCATTTCTGCAAAGTGTCTGGGTAGCTGCTGATAACCAGCAGGTAACAACTCAGCATGGACAATGACATTTGGAGAGCAGGAGAGAAATGACAGTTTCAGACCAGCAAAGCTGGGACATTTACAGACAGGAAAAGAAATTAAGATGAAGGATCTTAAAGCTCTTCCTACCAGGACTCAAGAGATTAAAATACTTTACATATGGTACAGAGTCAGTGGAAAGTACAATATAACTTATGAAATGAAAATTGTATTTGAAAGGTAGAGTCTCCTAAAAGTCAGCCATTTCTCCACTTGTAGAAGAATAAAATGACTCAACCCCTTCCATTCTCTAGAGCAAGCTCAGAAGAATGAAACAAGGCAAACTGTTACACCCTCTTCAGCCTGCTGATGAGTCTCTTGCACAATACATAGTAATTTTGATTTATCTGAGAGACCTAAGATAGAAAAATAGCCTGAGGTAATTTTTCAAGCTTAATTTAGTTCATTTAATATTTAATGACTTAATGAAGCTGTCTATGTGCAGAGCTTTCACTCTGGGAGGAATCTTAATGTACGCAGAGAATTTAGGAAATTGGCTTAAAAAATGTAAAAGGAAATCAGTAACTTAATTCATAAATGATTGACCTCAAGCATCCTAGGACATTTTCCAGACCTCTGAGCTTGCAGCTCAAATCTCTAGTCAAGCCGTGATAGGTCACAACACTGAAGGATTTTATTTCAAATGTGCATTAAAAGAATTATTAAGACTATCTGCGTAGGACTTTTCACTCTGCTGTACTGTCTGACAAGTGATTTTTTTTTCCGTCCTCTTCTCAAATGATGTTTCCACCCTGTATTCTCCACTTATGACTTTCTTGCTTGTCAGCTCCCCCCAAGCTATTTCCTGTTCAGGAGCATGGCATCATTCACAAACAGGAAGGAGAGCCTTGCATTTCTGCTATGAACATGACTTCTTGGCCTTTCTTAACACACATTTTAAAGGACTTCCAACCTTTCTGTGATGATATATTATGTATAAGACAATCCAGAAGCTCTTGAAGGAGATATGGTCTTTAAATCTATGCACTTACGGTCCTGAAAGCTCATCAGTCTGGCAACAGGGACTAATTGGATGCCACCAAACAGAAACTGAGCCTATACACATTACATAGATGTTAATGATTCTGGTTTAACAGCTGTTTTGGTTTGGGTTTTCTTCTTTTTTTTTTTTTTTGTTGATTTGGTCTTCCTGTTATTGTATTGGTGTTTTTCTACCCCTTAATCCAATGGTGGCTCTAACATCATCTCTGACCTGGGGAAAGAGGAGAGAAGCTAATTGCTTCTGAAAATCCAGCATTTGGGGACTTTTGGTAACCAGAAGCCCTGAGACTAAGAGAAGTAGCAGGATAGAGGAATACTTCTATCAACATTAAGACAGAAAACTCTTCATGAAACCCTGACTTTGTAGCTGTTCAAGTAAATATTTGCCATATGCAGATGTTCAAGGGTGGTGTGGCAGCACGTTACATCGTGGTTTTGTATAAACACATAAAAATCACTTAACCCAGGGGGCAGAATCTGCAAGGGCATTGAGCTGAGCCTATCTGACAGTATGGAAATAAAAACAGGGGTGGCTCATACTTTTCAAGCCTTATGGGTATTCGAACACTTTTTCAGGCTGAATTATTTTTTTTCTTTTTAAATACACTAATGTCATTATAGGTCATGAACCTGCCCGCATCCCAGTCCTACATATTCTAACCGCAAAGAAGATGGCAAATACTTTCTTTTTCTTTTTTTTTCCCATTTCTTAAAAATCTCTGGAAGAAGAGATTCACTTCTACATTATGGCATTTCTAACAGTCATGCAGGTGGAAATGGACATTTGACGTCTACTTGTGCCTGCTAGAGTACTGAAATGCTGTCAGAAATTGCTCTACTCTTCAGCAACATGACACAGACTATAAATGTGCAGTGGTTTTGTGTATATTCATGTGGAAGCACATATCCCTGAGTTAATAGCATTATTTGTATTGCTTTATAGAAATTTTAAGTTTTCTCCAACAAGTCCTGGTTATATCAGATAATATAAACATCAAACCCACTTTCACTCCAGATAATAAACTGTGAGTGACTACTCTTCTCCCAGAATACAGGTTCTCAACCATTTTAGGATAGTTTATTGCTTTCAGTGAAACTGCAACACTTCAACTTATCCAAGCACGTGTCCCACAGTCCAGAGAGCATCTTTAGTTAAGCAGTAAAGTGATAGGCTTTTCCCAGAATATTCGTATTTACAGTAGAGAAGAAAGATTTTTCTCTCAGACACCTTTCAGACACATCACAGCAGATTTCAGGGAAAAAAAATCACCATAGGCACGTAGGTGTTGGTGGCTGAACGAAAGCTTTGCTGCCACCAGGAGTGAGAGAGAACAGAGCAGTGGGTGGCATCATCCTATTAATAGTCTGTATTTCCTTTCAAACATTTTAGCATAGTCTTTTGATTATTTGTGGTCAGCAAAATACTGAAAGACCCTCAAGGAAAACACCATTAAGGTGCTTTTTGAGTTGCATGGAGCTAATACACAGACCCATTTGCCCCTGCAGCTGATTCCCCCCATTTCTCTTTTTCCCTTGTTTTTCTGCATCCATGTCATAAGTCAGTCTTGTTTTGTTCTGGGTTAAGGAACAATTTTGTTGCAAGGTGCTGCTCTGTGAGAACATTCCCTTTTAATGTCCCACAGGCCCTGCACTAGCCCTCACACCTGCTCTGCTCTCTCAGGGGAGACTTTACCACCAGTTTCCAGCAGCATAAGTTACTCCCTGACCTCCAGAAAAGTTTCCACTGACAAACCTACAGCAACAGAAAATGTATAGCCTGTTGTGAGCCAGGAACTTCCCCAGGGAGTTAAAACATCAACTATAAATAGTTAGCTGGTTTGCCAAAATCCAGTGATACTAAGTCCTTGAATGGTTTAATCTTTTATGAGATAAGGTGCATCCAGTAGAAGACTGCCCCTAAGGAAAGCCTGGTGACCTCCTGTTGATAAAAAGACTTAATTAAAAAATATTTTCTCTTGGATTCCTAAGGCAATAGAGATGGTTAAAGAAGTTTTACAGCTATGTCCATAGAACACACTGCCTCCAAGCTCAGAAGGCTGAGTCATCATTAAAATACAGCTGTCTTAAGACATTGATGTGCCCCATGTTGTGCCTGCCTCCAGAAAACTGATCAGCTGAGTCAAAACACTGCTGGCTCCATTGGGAGTTCACCTCCCCACACGCTGGGGGAAAAAACTGCCACAGCAAAGCCGCAGGACAGGAGGAAAATAATGAAAGTCTGCCAAAAAAAAATGGAAATCTAACACAAACTAACAACGAGAGATTAGAGCTGTGATTACCTCCTCCTCCTTCTCCCCTGAACCGCCTGAAATTCTATCCTTCAATAAAAGTCCAATAGAAGTTAATAGTCATGAATTATGTTTAAGTCATTCCAGCAAGATTGTTCTCACAGGACTATTTCTTCATGCAGCACACAACCCCCAGAGGATCTGGGCACAGACTGCTTTTACTTTTTATCAGTTCCACAGGTTTCTGCATATGCTCTATTTTTTTTCCAGAAAAAGTAGAAATTATAAATATTTCCAGAAAAATTGTTCTAAAATTGGTGTTAAAAGGATGAGTCTGGAACAACCTTACCTTTTCTTGGCCAGCCTTCGTTATTCTATGGATGTCAAAAAACTGTCCTGTGTAGTACTGCACCCCACTGAAGAGAATGACAGCAATAGAGTCCCCTTCCTTCTCAATTACAGCAAGGATATCTTCAGTCCTCAGGGTCTCCTCCCCCTAAAACAAAGTTAAAGCACACATTTTATATCAACTCTGGCATAATAAAACTGTCATTTCTTACTTCATAATCTGTATTTTACCATGAGCTGTGCTGCTTGCATAAGGAGACCAAAAGCAAATCTTTAGTATAGTTATGATACACAAAGGTATTTCTATGAAATATATGAAGTAGCATATAAGCAAGCCACCTCAAAAAAAAAAAAGAAATCATTAGCAAATATATCTTGAAAGTGCCAGTTAAACCCAAAAGTCTATTCACTTCATATTCTAGCATGCTTCGTACTCCTTAATATTTCAGACAGTTTTAACTTACAGTAAAAACAGTCTGGGTAAAAATAGCCTACATAATGATTTTTATGTGGCAGCTGAAATTTGTGACATCCACAAGACTTTAAAGTTTTCTATCACTTTTAGGCTGTACTTTTCTGATAAACTTTGTATCCCACAGGAAGCTATTATAAATCTACCATATTTTTATTTTAAAAACAATAAGTCTCACATCATCAAAAGTATAAAAATCCCCAAACCTGGGGTCATTAAATATAGAGGAATTAAAAAAAAAAAAAAAAGCCACCTCATTCCTGATCTATTTTTAAGAAAATTACCACCTCATCCTCCTCCTATCTTCCTAGCAAGGAATCATGTAAAACATAGCACCACCTAGGGATCAATTAAGCAGTGAAACTCTAGAATTAAATTAGACATGTTACTGAAAAGAGCTTGGACAAGATTGTTGAATTGAAAGTAGCTGTTATTATCTCAACAATCTTTGCAGATCTATCAAGCAGTCAGGAGGGGACTCTTTACTCACAAGTTGGCTCAGATTTCAGAAGCAAAAGGTCACTATCAGTTTATAGTAAGGTGGCAAAGTTCCCAATATTAAAAAGCAAAGGAAGGCAGTCTTTCAAATTAATCTGAATAACACATTACTCAAAGCAGACCTTTCCCTTAGCCTATCCTGGTACAGACACAGTGTTGTTTATGTTATGGCAATCTTTTACCTTTGAGCATTTAAAGGACAAGAGCGTTTCTCAATTAGATACTATATTTTTCAGTTGTCTCAGGATGCCATCAGTTTTTGCAAACAGAAATATAAGGTATAATATTTTTTTTTGTTAAAGCAAAATTAACTAGTTGAATCAGACAATCATAAAACGTGTTCTAAAACCAAAAAAATATACACAGAAAGAGACTACATGATTCATAAATTTTACCTAAATGTATTAGTAGAAACAAATTAATACTTCCACAGGCTGATACTAGAATATTTGAGAATATATGACTACACTCTCATGAAACATGCTTCTGCCCATTGTGACAGCAAGCACAACTGACATATTTCTCACCAACCTCCCGTGGCTGCATCGTGAGCATGCATTTCTCCACATCAAGTCCATGAAGTTGAAGTTGAGACTCAACAGCATACTGAAAGAGATTTCCATGCAAAGCACGTTAGCGCAAGTACGTGATAAAAGAACTAAAAGAAAAATGGACAGACACCTCAGAACTTCAGAAAAGGGATTCAGATGCCTTGCCTTTCACTAAAATTAACACTTGAAAGCCTAACCCAACTCCACTGAAAGCTTCATAGTTTTTGTTTGAAAAAGATCAGAATTCAATTCACATCATCAGACAACAAGGCCAGAGTCAAAAACTAAACCCTACAGCATAAGTTCAGAATGAGGGTGGAAATATGGTGGAGGATGTGATTAACCAGATGCCAGCAAGTAAAGCCTGATGCATAACAACCAAGGAGAAGACTGAACATCTCCTCTCCAGGGGCCCTGGGTAGCTATTTGGCTTGGTAGCACATGCTACATCCCAGCCTGTCACATATACACTGCTCTCAATGCAAATGAGGTTTGGCCAGCACATACATGCTGTGCCACGCTATCCTCATGTCTTCAATTTGCTGCATAGCTAGGAGGAAATGAGAGCTCTAAATTCCCAAGCTATTTTGAAAATACTATCTACTGATTTTATCAATAAATAATTGTTCTGGAGATCACATTAAAATCAACGAATAATGGTATAAAATGGTTCAAAATTACATGACAGGAACTGAAGTGACAGCAGTTGCAACGGTTACTACTGAGGTGCCATAGAAATTTAAGCAAATGGATTCCAAATGTACAAATGTGCCTGGAACAAATGTGGGATTGATATGAACATTACTTAGAATGAAGGTAATTTGAGGTTTATACATCTGTGCCATCATCTTCATTACAAATAAACCTGTTAGTAGCTTGAGCCATTTTTATCACACCTTAGGGATCAAATTTGTTATTAATTTCCATGGGTTTATGGTATTGATGATAAAATAGCAGTGGGCCACAAAACCAAAGATTAAATTGCTCTAAGCTGTTGTGCACAGGCTATTGTCTTCTATTTTATAGCAGAAAAATTATGTTTGAACTAGTAATCTAAAGTGCTACAAACAAACATTTCCATTTCTGTCTGGGGATATCTAAGTGTTAATGTTGTGAGTTTGTATTGATTTGGCTCCATAAAATAAAACAGCAACAAGAATTAATAAAAAATTTACAACTTCAGTTGATTTAGCCCATTAGTTTGTTCAATGTCTTTAAAAAGACTAATAAATCAATGTACCCATTCAGTCTTTTCCTCTTGTAACATATTTTATTTGAACAAAAGGAATAAAGCTATAATCTGTAAAATATGCTGAGCTCAAAAGCTCCTGACAGGTTTTTTTATTGTAATGTTACTTGGACAAGATGAGCTAATAAATATTCAAATCAGGCTACTAATATTCTTTGGAAAAACATGATTAATAATACAAATATGGTGAAATATTAATTTCTTACATGGTCAGAGGGAAATGCTTTGCCTTCTAGAAGAATTTTATAGCGTCTTGGAGTAGGCTTAAAGAAAGATAGCTGTTAAAAATTAAAAAAAAAAAAAAAAATGTTGAAATGTACCTAAGCAGAGATAAGAGAGACTCTCCCAGCATATAGATTAGTAAAGACTGGCTTACTTTCATGCAGACTACAGAAAATTCCCCCGAAGTTACAAATATTTCTTTGTCCATATAACATTCACCAAAGTAGGAAAACACCGTAATACTGCATTTCACATATCCATAATAGCCACAAAAATCCAGCAGTGAAAACTTGCACTTACAGGAATTGATGGCAAAGCATTGACTGCATCCAGGGAAGCTGGGATTTCACCCAGTGCCATCCCACAGACATACCCAGCTGAAGAGTAGAAAACAATGCAAAAGAAATGGATTTCCAGTCCTCCCCTAAAGCATTAGTTATCAAACCATCCCATCCTCTGAAACAAGACTGACCAAAGGACTAAGCCTTCTGCAAAGACCTTATCTCAGCACCTTTAGGTGAATGGTTTTCCATCTCAGTCCTTCACATGAAGGCAAGCTGAGATTGTCACTATGCTGAGAGGACTAGGAGAAGGCTTACAAGCCCTCTCGTTCCTGTTGGCAGTGGTTACACACAGCTCAGCACAGGCTTTGTACTCAAGCAGTTTGGCATGAGTCTGGCTTCATTACACTAATTCAGGGCAGAGTAGCCAGGTAAATTGGCTTGGTACTGCTTAGTACTTGTCCTGCTTCAGGGCTCTTAATTTAACAAAGGTCAGAGACACTACAAAGGAGCATATCCCAGCAATAAATATTTTTGTGTGAGCCACACAAAATGAAACCTCACGTCTTCACAAAGTTGAATCAAATCTTCGGAAATACTAGAGAATGAGACAGGCTGTCTGTAGCCACAGAGACAGTGCATAAGGAAGCTACATTTATGGTCACTATGTTATAAAAATCAAACCCACATTGCAGGCATATATAAACCAGCATAACTCAAAATGCCATCACGTGTGTGTAACTGCATTTTAAGCTTGACTGATACTACAGCTTTGTCTTGCTCACACTTGAGCTATTGTTTCTTAAGCTGAAATTTGGTATGAAAATCAAATTTGATGTTATTTGTAAAATTTCTTTAATATCATCTCCTTCCTGAGGGTGACATGCAGCACATGAAAGAACAACTCAGACTTGCCCTCCAGAGTCCTTGAAAATATTTTTCTGTCCAGCTTTTCTGCTTAACAGTAAGTGGAAACAGGTCTTGCACAAGACAAAACATGATTCAAGATACAACTCCCAAGGCTTAAGAAAAGTTAGGCTATCATCCAGTGCTGTATTTGTGAGGTCCTCAGGAAACATTTTGCTTACGTGCACAAGGAAAGGAAAAAAGAATACTTGCCAACACGACATGAAATATACATCTCAAAGACGTACCATCAGGAGGTGCAAGTTAACAGTTAGCCCATTCATTAAGGCTACTTCCTGTCTTTTGGCCCCTGAAATAATAAAAAGGAAAAGAAAAATGGTTGGGGCATTTTCTTTATAATTTCAGAGAAATCTAGTACAGTGTTGAGAAAGCAAAAGTATGTTTTCAGTCAATGTCTCTCTAAAGACTGGAAAGTAAACAAATGTTTAAGGTGTCCTCACAGTAAAAAAAAATTCTTGTATGACTCACTACACAACACTGGCAGAAAAATATTTCTTTTTTCAGGTCAGCCACAGAAAACAAAAAACAATGACGTGTTTCCATTTCCCAGCAAACCACTGGAGAATTTATTATCATTAATATCTCAGACAAAAATCAGGTCAGAAGACTATATAAAGCAAGACTTACAGACTTATTTATTGTCATAAGTTTGTTTGTAAAAGCAAGTCAGAAAACATATCGAGACAATCATCTATTCTAACTGGTTACTGTAATGTCAAGCTAAATCTCATACCTAATTAAAAAAATAAAGCAAAATTTGCCTATTGAACATAACAGACTATTATTACTGTAGCAACCTAGCAAGAAGCCATACCCCCATACCTTCAAGGAAGCTAATAACAGATGCCTTTTGGCCGCAGCTAATCACAGGCAGAGCTAATGGAGTAACAACTAATTGTTATTACAAAGTATTTAGTAACAAATTCTCAGACCCTTATCAGCCACTGGTGAAAGATTTTAGGTAGAAAAAGGGACTGCATGTTAGGCAGGGCATCACTGACAAATGGGTAAAATCAACTCCTCTTTCCTTCTGTTTTGCCTGGTATCTGTTGTTGAAAAGCAGCAATTCACCTTTGACACAAATCAGTGCTCTGAGAATCTTTTTCAGCTGGAAAATGGGCTCATGCACCTCGCCCTACTTATTGCCCCAGCAGTAGAGTTCAAAGGTGGAAAGAGGTTGGAGACAAGATGATGAAGACAAGTGTAAGCAGGTGGGGAGGGTAGCAGCCACCCTTGAGATCAATAAAGAGGAAAAGAAAACATGATGTCGGGGTAAAAAAGGCAAGGGGAGCCACAAGAAATGGAAAGGCAAACCCTGGGTTTCTCCTGTCCCTGCTTTGGAGGGCACACAAGGTCCCAGCCATCAAGGGGGAAAGGCGGCAAAAGCACCAAGATACTCCCACCATATCGCCGAGCTTAGGTTAATGGAGTTATTACTTGTCAGCTAGAAAAAAAGTCATAATCATGGGCTGAACTCATTACAAGCAAATATAGCCAAAGAAAATGAAAATCTGTAATCAAGAACAGTTTATTCATAAATCCTTCCTAAGCAGGCCTCAGCTTCTGCCACCACAGGAAAAACCAAGAATGATTCTGACTAAGGTATTCATGGGCTTTTTTTGTGTGTGTTGCCGAAATCTCCAAGTATTCGACAAAGATTTCTCAATAGCTGTTAGTGACTCCAGAAGACCTGTCCAGGGGATGAATCAGGAAGAAAAGGAGATGTCGTGAATAAGTTCCCTCCTTCAGATAGCAGGAGCATCATCAGGTTTGTTGGAAGAAGTACAGTTAGAACTAGTTATTCATATGAAAAAAATAAGTTCTTTTCCTCATTTAAACTCCTCTCCTTTGCTTTCTTTTCTTCCTTGTGACAGCACTGCATCTGCAGGCTCCATGCTGCTTGAAGAGGTCACCTTGTGGCTGTTTTATTGCAAATATAGAAGACAGCTAGAGAGAGTGATTGCAACTCAAAACAATACTATTTGCAATCTTAATATTTCTATGGAACTTTTGAGGCTGAAAAAAAGGGATAGCATCAGGAAATGGTTCTTAGTTCTCCCTCTGTTCCTTCCATGAAATCTGTGGCTTTCATAGCAAATTCTGCACAAGCAATCCTCTGCCTGCTGTACTGTTTCTGTATAAAACAAATGGTTAATCTGCAAATCACTTTTAGCTACATGCTAGCATCTCAAATTAAATATGACACTACATTTGTCATGTAAGTCTTGGTCTTCCATAAATTATATATTTATTAAAAGTTTTCCATTATTGAATTTCATGCCCACAAAAGAAACCTCATCTGTGTCATTGGAAAACTGTTATCCTCTATAACCTGCACTGCATTTCAGAAAACAACCTTTCTATGATCCAATTAACCTATTACAATATTCAAAGACCCAGCACACAAGAGACAAAATTATGTTTGCTTTCTTTATTTCCTAACTGTATACAGTATCTCCAAGCCAGGCTAAAACCTGCATGTTCTGCTTGATAAATCTCCTCTTTAATAAAAGGAAGCAGCATTTGCAAAGTACAACTTCAGAGACAATTATGATTGTGTTAGGCAGACACTGCCATCCTTCTTCTCTCTGGCTGTAGTGGGAGCCTGAACCTCATCAGAGTAAGTAAAAAGCATTTTGTCAAATGACTGTAAAAATGCTAAAGGCTCCAATTCTGAAAACATTTTGGTTATTGCAAATAAACCATATCACTCAAAGTCACTACAAATCTGCCTAGCATTCAGTCTTCCCTCAACAGAGACCTGCTCAAGCTCATTGTACAGCAGCAGCCATACAGTAATTTTGTTCCATTGGAAGGAGATCCTGCCAAGGTTGCAATGTTCTCATAAAGTCTGCTAGGAGAAGCTGCGATTACCATCACTGTGTTGTGCCACTCAGTGTGAGCACAGAAAAAAAGCTTTGGCCTCCACAATGCGGAGGCGTTTCACAATGTATTTTCTACTGTAACTTTCATTGAACAACCAAATGTGACTGCACTTAATAAGCAATGTGTTATAGCACTATAAACCATTAAACGAACAAAGATTTTTCACAGTCTTTAGTCCATTCCTGAATAAATCCCACCAAATAATTTTTACTTACTATTACAAGTACTTAGAGTGAGAAATCACAATTTTTACTCCTCCTCCATAACATGTTAAATATTGAATAAAAAACAGGGTAAAATTCTCCTTATGTTCTTACATAAAAATCACTAAAAAAGGAAATTCAGAAGTCACTCAACTTATACATACTCAGTATTACACCTTGGGGGTAAACAGTACTTAATCATAAATACTGCATTGGAAGAAAGCATTTTAATATAATATCTTTCCTGCATTTCTTCTCTTAGCCTTTTCACTATTCCCTACAATTTTAAAATTCAGAATTTATTACAATGTATCCATTATTTGGGAAATATTAATTCATTTGCATACTAAGAATCATTCATCTAACTCCTGAAAAAAAAAAAAAAAAAAAGAGAATATTATGCAAATAGAACCCTGTTGGAATGCAAATCTGAGGGCCAGATTTAAATCCAAACCATATTTTATAGTTCAATTAAACAAAGCTCCCAAAATCCTGGAGAATAAAATTCAAACCAATAATGATGACACACCCTTTACTTTTCAGGAAAGCAATGAGGCTATGAAACATTTCCCAGTAAAAAATTTTAAAAGCAAATTAGGTTAATGGTAGGGTGACCTCAGCCATAATTTTTATAAGAACTTTAAAATATTCATTTAAAATAAACAAAATTATAATAAGGTCAGTGCAGTCTGGCCATTGTGATTTAAAAAAAAAAAAAAAGCACCAGTATCAACAGAATTTGGAAAAGAAAAGAAAAATAAGGAGACTGACAAGCAATTTGATGAAGTTTAAGCAAAGCTCTCATTTCCTTCTCCTTACATCCAGAATATGCCTATATGCCTTTTAGTTAAAGAAATATTATAATACACACTGAGCTGACATCCTCTACAAGACAGGTGGCTAAGGCAAAAGAGGTCCAACCTGACTCTGCTTTCTGCAGTGACTCTTAACCTAAAGCTAAGGCTAAACCGACCCCAGCACCTGCAGAAGGTCAGTGTTTATCCTGCCCCAACATCCTGTGGGGAGTTCATGGGGGCCCACATTTTGCAGAGGCAAACATTCACAGGTGTTGCAGAGAAGGATGATAACTCAGGTACTTCAAGCTGCCCTTCAGGTTATCTTGGCTTTCTCTCCTGGTTATGTAAAAAGCATCGGTGGTTTTACCTTGTTACTTTACTAATTTAGGTGCTTGAATGTATGTAGTGTTAGTGTGACTACTTTTCCATTCTATTAAGACATAAGAGAAATTCTCAGACCTCCATTTAATTAAATTCAAGGTTTCAATTTCAAAAGGCTTTACTATGCACCAGGCTGGTTGCATGACAAGTTACATTTCCCCATCTGCTCACAGCTTACCAGTTACACCCTACCAGAACAAGAACATCCACTTGCCAGGAAAGATTGGTCAAACTAGAGAAATCCTTAAATCACCTGCATTCAGCATTTCAACACCCTCTATCTTTTTAGATTCTCACATTTTTATGTTCTGTGTTAATGGATGAAAGTACTGAGCATGCCCTTGAGTGTAATGAAAGCGAGAAAAGCATCCTGGTTTTGGCTGAGATAATTTTCTTCCTAGTAGCTGGTACAGTCTGTGGTTTGGATTTAGTATGAGGATAATGTTGATAACACACCAATGTTTTAGTTGCTGTTGAGTAGATCTTACCCTAATCAAGGACTTTTCAGTGTCCCATACTGTGACAGTGAGGAGGGGCACAGGAAGCCTGGAGGAAGCTCAGCCAGGACACCTGACCCAAACTAGCCAAAGGGGTATTCCGTACCACAGTATGCCACACTCGGCATAGAAAGTGAAGGGAGTTGGCCGGGAGCTGCCAATTGCTGCTCGGAGATGGGCTAAGCATAGAACAGTGACTGGTGAGCAATTGTTTTGTGCACCACTTGTCTAGTGATGCCTGGTGTAGCCATGCTCATATTTGTGATATCTTAGTGCTGACGTTATGGATAGACCCACTACAACAATATTTTCTTATATTTATTCTGCTCCAACAATAATGTCCCGTATTTTAGCTATTTGGAAATTTCATGAAGAAGTCAGGAAGTGACTTTATTTATAAAGTTGTCATAAAACATTCCTTAACATCTCTGTTTCCAGTTGTACAGATCCCATTTGCTTCTCTTGAAGGAGAAAAACCATAACTTTGTCACTAAACACTTGCCTATAGTTGAAAGAGAAATTATGAGACAATATCCCATGTACAGTAGGTCAACTTAACACTAATATTTTTCCTTAGCGATGGCACAAATGAACACATGATAATTCAGTTCTGACAGTCAGTATAGACAGTTGCCTTCAACAGCTAAATTGAAATACTGGCCAAATCTCACTATAATCTACTAACCTAGCCTTGACAAGAGCTCTAAGTGTTGGGGAGAAAAAGAGTCTGAGAGACACCCTGCCAAGATCATTTCTCTTCCCCATTCTCTCAGCAACAGCTCTGAAGGAAATTACAGTGAAAGATTATTTCAGCAACTACACACAGGTTTGAGTAAGAGGTGACGGAGGAAATTTGCATTCAGACTCACACAACTGCTTCTATGACTGGTGAATTCAACAGAAGTCTCCAGGGCTCCTTCTCAGTCTCTAGAATAACCAGAAGCATTTACTGACAAGGTCCTGCAGCACTGCAGACTCCTCAAGGGGTAGAGCACAGTAATAAGTACTTACAAATAGCAGGTTCTGCCCCAATTATCTGCTTCATTGACATAAGCAGCTCCCATTATGAGGCTGGATTTAGCAGTGGGGAAAGGAGGAAAAGCAGAGATTGTCTAGATATAAATAATTTTTCAAAGGTGAAAGTTCATTGGTTCACTTTTAGAAGAGTGACTGAGAATCTATAGCGCCAAGTGCCCTTGAAGAGGGCTTCATGCGTAGACAAAGTGGTTTATGATGCTCCAAAAACCCCTTTGCTGCATTTAGTTTTATGATATTGCATATGCTCATATATTATCGCAAACTTTCATCTCTTAAATTGCTTGCAGTCTTAAAGTAAAGTGTTACTCCATGCACAAGGCACTTAGGAAAACTACTTTAAAACAACGGAATGCAAGGAACTAATTTCTGGTTACAGAGTTTCAGGACTTTCAGTCTGAAAAGAACCCAAATTGGTTTCCTTGTCCAGAGAGAGTTTCTCCAGCAGTTCACACCTACCAACCAGTTCAGCCATCAGGTCCAGGATGCACTCATCTGCCAAAACCCATGGGCGCTGACCATTGAAATGACCATGAACACCTCTGAAAAGGAAGAGGCAAATGATGAAAACATGCTGTGGATCAGTTCTAAGAAACGCACCTGATTTGGAGACCCTACCTTTGGAGGAGGGAGGAGGAGGAGACTCACCTAAGCTGAGCACAGCACTTTCATCTTGCCACTAAAGATCACAGGAAATGTAATTAATTTGTTGGTTTCTGACAGGTTTTTGGCTGCTTGAAAACTATTTTTGCCCAAAGAATTCCTCTAGAAATCCACCAAAATTAAAGATGATAACTTTTTCACAAGTCCCCTTGAAGTTGCTGTGCGAGTACAAGATTACTTCGAGAATGGTCATACCAGGAGAGGACATGGTGGTGACCAGTGCAGGACGGCACCCTGCTAACTCCAGCTCATATAAACCACAGAGAGCAAAGATCACCCTGCAGTTTCCCCACCTGCATTTCTACCTGAACATTGTATCATACAGAGAATGGTAGGCTGGAATACTGCCTTACTCCAGATGGAGGTATTTCTTGTCAGAAACAATTTCTGTCCTCCTGAATCTCCTGTCTGAACTCACCCTTCTGCATAAACCAGCAGGTACTTAATGCATATGCAGGGGAAGTACCTGCCCAAACAGAGCTGCTTGCTAAGCCTTATTGCTTATCTTCTCCCTGCCAAACTGTTCTAGATCTAAGTGTCCATAAAGCTTTTGAGTTTGACAGAGAGCGTTTAAAAACTTAATTCTGCAAACTGTTCCTGTCTACAGTGAATCACAGAGTCACCTTAAACCTGAATACATCACTACTCCAAAATGACAGATATGTGCATGTGGTTCTGGATTAAGTGCTCTGAACTAATTTTTGCTTCAACTGTGACAGAGAAGTAAACTCCTAAGATAGCCATCATGCATATATAAATCAAAAGTTGTAAAGATGCTTGAACATGCAGGATGAAGCATACAGATTTAAATGCAAATGAAGGCAGACTGAGAAAAGTAATAATGCTGCTAATCCAGGGGAACATTGCTCTGGGCTCCCATCTCACACTGGATGATTTTCGTATTTGCTGAGCACCACAGGGTACTAGTGGAGTCAGAAATACCAGGCTGCATGCGGGTTGAGGCAAACCAAATATGAAGCAGTTTCAAAACAGGGTCAAAACCAGTAGAAAACTGGGTAGAGAGCAAATAAGAAGCTCTAAGAGCTGTGATAAGAGAAAAAAACAAACAAACAAACAAACAAAACTTCTCCTCCTAAAAAAAAAAAAGGGAAAAAAAAAGAAAACCAAACTAATAATAAATCTTCTAAAGAAGAATAGGCCCACAATGTTCACTCAAAATCATTAGAGGACATCTGGCAGATTAAGACATGAGAAAGGAGGGTGTATGAGACACATTTAAAATATTAGTTTTCCCTATCCACCTTGTACTTTCCTCTCCCAGGTAGCATTTCATTCTGTCTCCCTCACAAATTACCTGAATATTTCATAGTCAGACCCTTTCTGACTGACTAGGGTCTAATTCACACCTCCTAGGGATATTTCCAAAAGAACAGCAGTCCTAGTCCTAAAGAACAGAGGAACTGCTCCAAAAAGCACAATTTGTCTTAACCACTTCATACCTCTCATCCTTGCAAAATACCATTAGTTTAGGTCAGCAGCTGAAGAAGGGCACAGGTACAACTGAACAGCTCTTACAGATAAAATAACTTCCCTATGTTCAAAAAGTCCAGCACCATACAGATGACCCTATGTTCAACAAGTCCAGCACCATACAGATGACAAGGAGGATGCCAAACCCTAATATGGATAAGGTCACGGTACACTAGCTGACTGTTTCTCCCTGTTTTAGAATTGCTCTCTGATGAGACTTTGATAGCAGAAAGCGGGCAGTATGAAATAGCACTCATTTACAAGAACATTACACAGATGAGGAATAAAGGCAGTAGGTGGGTAGGAGAGAAAACGTGGTAAGGGGCAGGATTAGTGATAAAAGTTCCTCCCTTTTATAAGCTATAACACAGCTGTGCTCCCTAAAGACAGTCATATATATTTCACAAACAGCAAGACATTTATTGCTAATTTCCCTTCTTATTCTTAACTGTAATATAGTGATCAAGGGACTTGGGATAATACAGACTGTTAAATTAAAAAATAAAAAAAATAAAAAAACCCACAAAGATTTTCTGTGGTTGCCAGCCCAAAGGGATCTGTATTTCTGAAAGAGGATACCAAACATAATAAGATGGGAAAAAGAAGCCCTAACTACCTATGGGATTATCTTTCATTAACATTCTCTGATTTTATAGCCATTAGTGTCCTTCTAATGGGAATTTACTAATGAAAGCTCATTCTACCAGCACACAGAATTAACAAAATTTCATAACGAATTTCCAAGTTATTGTGAAAACAGATATGATACATTGGCTATGAGAATATCTTATTTTAAGAAGAAAACATGCAAATTTAAGTATATTGAAAGAAGGAAGAGCCAGCATTTATTGTCATTCATATTCATATTATTATTATAACACAGCTTACAGCCTGCTTCCCTCTTGATGGCCAATATACATTCCAAGAGACAAAAATTATTGCAGCTAAAATGGTAGTTAAAGGCATATTCTTGGACACTTTTTTTATTTTAATCACATGAAACTCTGTAGACTTTGCTGACGGCACAATACATCATATTACACTTAGGTTGTAAAATTCTATTCTCTGCCTCAGAGAATTTATATCTCTGTATATTATGCCACCCCTCTCTCAGCTCTGGTAGGCAATGGGGGTAATAATCTTTAAGGACACAACTGCAGCACTTCTGGCATTCCCCTCAGACACAGACAGCCTATGTCTCACTTTGTTTCTACTGCACCCTAGGTAGCAAGAGAGATTTGAATCAAGGTACCCAAATTAATGAATACAAAATGTGGCCCATCAAATCATAAAACTTCATACAAACAGAACTGTTTATTAAGCTACTGTCACAGTTTTTCACTTTCCAAATTAATTTATAGTCGGTTACTACTTTTTTTTTTTTTTTCAGTTTGGCAAGGAATCACAATGCCACATTTTACTCACTGTTGATTTAAAGCTCGCTAGGGGAGCTAGAAACACATTTTCTGATATGATCCCAAAGTTTCAAAGGTGGTGAGAAAAGGGATTTAAATTAATTGCCAGCTTCAGAAATCTTCTGTGCTCATCCAAATCTTGTTCAAGTGGAAATTTTATTCTTGCTTCTTTGCCAAAACTGAGGCAAGGTATTTAATAAGCCAACACAGACTTTTAAAGTTTGACCATGGTTTCAAGCAAAGAAACAGAAAAAAGAAAGGAAGATAATATCCAAAGAAAAAAGAACTTTTTGAAGCAGTAGATAGAAGGCAAACCTAAAAATCTCAGGGTATTAAACCAGGCATTTACAGCTCTGACATACAGCCTGATGAAAGGTACAATGCAGAGATGACTTCTGCAGAATGGCAGAAGTGGGCTTGTCAAACAGAACATAACCAAGCCCCACCAGCTGCACTCCTGTTTGCAGGGCTGTTATATCTTGCAGGATTAATTCAGCAGATAGAACCAAAGATGACTTTCAACTCTGTGAAAACAGTCTTTGTTGCCTCAGATGTTATTATAAAGCCTTCCACAGACTTGAAGGTTTTGTCTACCGTGTTCACATCAGAAGCTTGTAGCCAGATTGCTTCAGTGCTTAAAAGCATATATATAAATATTTTGTTCTAGCCTCAATTTATTAATTCCTAGTTTATACTTATTGTGCCAGCATGTTATTTCACATAAGTGGCTCCTTCCCTCCCCCCCAGAAGGTTTACCCCTTAACACATTGACAGAGATCATTTTTCCTTTCAGTCTTATTTTTGCTCAGCTAAACAACTCTAATCCTCAAGGTTTCCACACAGCAGGTTCTCCACTCCACAATCACCCCAATAGCCCCTCACAAGGGCATAACAACCAGCTATGACAGACTCCCTTCTGTTTAATAGTCCACTTTAATGAGTTATTCAATGTAAGATACATTGCCCACTGAAGCAAGTATGTTTGCATGCAATAATGATTCTATAAAATACATTAAACAATTCTGGTGGGGGAAAGGCAAAACAGGACACTGCAAAGCACCTATAGGCCTTTCTCCACCCAAGCAAGTCACTTGAACTTTGGTCTTTTAGATCTAAAAAAAAAAAGAAAAAAAAGAAAAAAAAAAAGAAAAGGATTAAGAATACCAAACCAGAAAATATATGTGAGGACGATGATGTAAGAGAAGAAAGCTATAGTCCACCATTTAAAGCTGGGCCCAGGTAGAAGGGGCAGTAGTGAATTGTAAGAGGGAATAAAAGAAATGCATGAGAAGGCCTTTTTCTCTCCAGGCCTTTCCCTAATTAATTGCCATCACTACACAGAGCTGAATCTACAAGCTTCCCTGCCCTTGACCACAGCTACTGCATATTCTTCTTTTTCACTCTCACCATTAATTAGAAGCAGCAAAAACTGCTTAAATAGACTAGTAGCTATTTCGGATGAGTCCCAAGACACAAAAACCAGAAAATGCAATAAACCAATTTATAAGAAAGCCAGAATCTCTATCATTGCTGACTTGAAGGATGCACCTCATTTGCATGCAATTTCTTAGACTTTCACTACTTATTTATCTAAACCACAGGCAGTAAATTCCACACTGCCAACACATGAGCCATTGAACATGCTTCTGCTGATAACAGCTACTACCTTAGACTAGATTTTGCTAAGCTGTTCTTGGTACCTGGAATAAAAGTACTCATTTCTACATCTCCAAACACCTGTTCCTTTGGAGTCCCCAGCATCCTATCTTGCTCTGCTCAAATTAGGCTTGACTTTACCCTGACTTTCTCAGTTGATTAGATGCACCTGCAACTAGCTGAATATTTGTTCCAGGGGGTTTTTTATTTCAATTTCTGTTTGTCTTGTGTTTTGAGTCTGTTTGGTTAGGGGTTTTGTTTGTTTTTAAACTGCCTGATTTATTCTAGGTAAGGTGTTTGGGGCCAAGCTGTATTTTTTATCAAACAACGTTTCTATATTTGCTTCCTCTTTTCTGATGGCTTGAAGTCATGTTCAGCCATACTTCCCCCTTAGATACAGCTACTGGAGGCACTTTTGATCTTCTGGAGAAATACGATGCCTACCTTTTTCTTTTGTTTTTTTTTTTAATCACTGAGAAAAAAAAAAAAAAAATCCTTTCCTGTAGCAAAGACAAACACAAGAATGGAAGTGAACCAGTGAAAAGGTGGAATGAAGGAGCTGAAATATGTTTGCACTCCAACTGCATCATTAACAGCTAAGAGCACTGACTTTCACCTTTTGAAAGAGCTCACCTGTTTCCTTACTAAAGTAGGTTAACCAGACAGGAATGGGCAGGATTGCAATTTTTTCAAAAGACTGGACAAACTGCAGCACCATGCTGAATGAATAACCAGGAAGAACAATTACTTCCCAAAGTTCATATTCATTCTCAACTGTCTCACTTATAAGAATACAAGTAAAAAACAGGAAACAGTGAACTATTTTTATTAACCCACAGTGTTCATATATTATATGTGAAAGAGCAGCTACAGAGCATTCATATTTACATTGTGAAGCCCTCATCTAGACCATTTCTACTGAAACAAGGCTGCCTAGTTAGCAGAATTAGTTTTTCCCTCTTCTGCCTTCCCATATTTCCTCTGCTCTCTCACCATGAAACCGCATCTGTTTCACACATATAATGTACCCTATGAAAGTGTTTGTCTCTCTCCCAGCTCACTCATTCATCTGGATGTCATTTTCCTTTCCCATCTTCAGCTCCATGGTTTTTATTTATCTTTTTCTTTACTCATCCCTGCACCAGGTGCTCAAGCAGGTACTGGGCACCTCAAAGCACAAACTCTAGGGAAACCAAGTATAATAATAATTTAAAAAAAAAAACCACCAAAAAACACACACTTTTTTTTCCTCCCTGTATATTAAAAGCTTCCCACTTCCTATGATGCCTATGCCCCTTTCCTGCAATGCTGAAAGTTTTCTCTCCTTTGTCCTCCTGTCTCTCTTACATCGTGTCTGTTTGGCAGAGCTTGTTGCAAACCACTCAGTTCCTCTCCAGGATGTTACTGAGAAGACAGGCTTGCTTTCTAAATAAAATGAAGTTGTCAGGTAGAGACCCCGTTTAAGAGGAGCCAAAAACCTGCCAGCACTGGTAGTAACACCACCTGCGTGAGGTGCTATACCAATGGACTGCCCATCGCAAGGCCTGCAGAGTGAATCACATGCAGTTAAAAATACTAATTAGAAAATCATGGGGTCTGAAACTGAATCATATTCATTAGCAAGCAGCAGCAACCAAATGAGTTTGTATCTTGTGTATAAGCACATGTAGCAATTGGATGGGGATGGTTAATCTGTGCAAGTCCCCCAGATGAGCCAAAGCAGAGCATTTATGCGCAGCACAGGTTATAGCAGCTGGAAGTTTCTCTTTGTCTGTTTTATGGCTCATACCTTTACAAGGAGACATAAATAGTGCTAGGGAAACACCGAACATGTTTTACTGCTGGGCTGTAGTGGTTTTAACACACTATTCTTCTATTCACACATTTCCAAGGCAGATCCCAAAATAAAAAGAAGTGCTCATTTGAAGCATGGGTTAGTACCTCTCATATTCCATGGTGTACTCACATTCGAGCCCACTTGTCCAGTTCTTCATCCAAGTAAGTTTTCACTTGTCTTGGCTGGAGCCCAAGAGAATTCCCAGCAAAGTATATGCAGCTTTCCTCTCCATTCACCAGGCCCAGATCGGCTGTGGAGGGAAATCACAGAAATAACACACACAGGGGTGTGAGCACAGGAGGGACAGCACGTGTCCACATGCACACGTGTGCCACCACCCAGAGTTCTACCCACTCCACGTGTCCCTGGGACTTCATGGTCCTCATGTGAACTGAAGTGCCACATCCTGACCTTCCTCCATAGAGACCACTCAGGTGACCCTGCAAAAGGATTTAAGGAGGAGGACAACTGGGCAATTTGCAAGAAATTATTCCCCTCATCCTTCTGCAGTTTTCGGCTGAGTCCACTTGCACCTGTTCTGGAGCTAACCTGAGTTCAGGCAGCATCAAATCCCCAGGTCTCCTGGGGCTGCTTGAGAAGCAGCCTCTGGCACTGATTTTGTCAGGTCTGTAACAAACGGTGAATGAATAAGGAGCATTTTCCTGAACACTTTTCTTCCATCATCATTGCATTCCTACACTGGGTTGTGAAATTACTTGAATTTTGCATTTAATAATATGCATTTTTAAATAAATTGCATTAATTTATGCAATTTAATAATTTGCATAAAAGGTAAATCTGTGTCTTTCACGTAAGTTCTCCCTGCGTGATTAAATCACTATTTAGAAAAATGTAGTCATTGCACAGAATATTTCAAGGCAATATCAGAAGTTCTTGTCTTGTCAGCATATATTGTGGGCTGCACTTCATGTCATCATCATTACCTGAGGAGGAGGAGGAAATCTATGTTGACAAATCCTTTCAATGATTAGGAGAAAAGCAAGGCCTTAGAAATTCATAAATACTAGCCCTAGTGAGATTCTGAACAATCTAATTACCCCATGGCATCATCTATCAATACAAACATTGTCTTTTTCTATTATTTCTCATGTTAGAGATTCTTGGAGGGACAAGTGATGATGACCTACTAGAAGCAGCAATTAATTTGCATTCATCTATACCTATGCTTACAATACCCCAAAAGCTAACAGTAATATTTTCTGTAAATATAATTGATATACCTCAGAAGAAAGAGCAAATTAATGTACATGTTAAGATATATGCTAGAAATGAATATAAGGTTGCATTTATGTCTGAAAATTTTATGTTAGGACTGCAGAAAAATAAAATGGATGCTTGGAAAAGATTTCTTACTATCTTTTGCATTAACAATTGCCAACTTACTGAACTTCACCAGAAACACTTTTTCCAGAAGTATAGACAACTTGGGTAATTTCTTAATTAAAGATTTTGAAGCTTTTAAAAAGCATAAGTCAGAGAGCAATTTCAACCTAATCTGTTTTACAGATGCTATGTCTGTTTTTCATTTCTATTCTAATATGAATGAAAACAGAGAGGCATAAATATTATTCATGTTCCTAGATCGGTTCTATTAGCAGTTCTTCTATGAAAAAACACAATAAAACTATCTCATTGGGAACAGACAGAAGGGTCTTGGCTCAAGTATTTGGAGCTTAATCTCACAAATACTCTTTTTGCTCCAATTAAGCATTAAAACAAGTAAGGAATTATAAAAAAGTTATCTTTTCTTGCACCAGTCCTCTCCACAGGATCACTGTTGGAGAGATACAGTACTGCAACTTTGATAAAGTGTATTTTTCTGCTTATATGCCTGCTACATTGGATATGCTTTTTTCACATTATCAACTCTATATAGGGCTGTACTCTTTTTCATGAAATAAAGTTTAATTTCCTCTTTCTAACATTGTTAAAAGACTCATTTTGGACCACTGCTGCTTTCCAAACTAGGCTTGTTTTTAGCAGCATTTTTGTCATTTCACAGCTTCTCCTGACCAGCACATTTTTGTGCTCCAACATTTCCCTGGTCACTGTGATATTCTTTACAGTAACATATTTGTTGTATAAAGACTAGCACTTGTCTTTCCCCAAATTACTTTACCCTTACTTCTTACAGTATTGACCCTTTTTTTTTTTTGGAGGAGCTGTGATTGAATATTTCAATATAAATTGCAGGTCAAATAGGAAATAAGCACAACTCATGAAATAAAGACTAGTGTAAAACAAACAGGAGATAATTATTGAAATATGTCCTTAGAGTAGCCTGAATTAAAAAAAAAAAAAAAACAAAAAACAAAAAATTAACAATAATTTACATTAAGATTAAATACATTATACATTATTTTCACACCTACTCAGATTTGCGCAAACTGGTCAAATCTAATGGCATACATTGTTGTGCATACTGATTATACCCATTTGTCTACACTAAAGAGGTATTTCTACGATTTCTAGAAAAAGCAAGTTTATTTTCAGAAATATTCAGTCAAAAAAAAAAAAAAGGAAAAAAATCAATGTCTTTACTATCCAGAAAGGAAGAACTAAATCTGCTTATACATATGCATGTCCTATCCTTTGCTGAAGGATAAAAGACCACTTCTGTCACAACTTCCTATACCCCATCTCAAGCCCTCCAAACAAGAAGTCAGATTTATACAGGTAACCACTTCCTTTAACTATCTCTTCAGGGAAATATAGCTCAACACTTCCACACCGGGGTATCTTTTTATTCCCAAGAAATACAAATGATGCTCTATTCATTTACAAGCTGACAAAGCACAAGCCATAGCCTTAATCAGATTGGTGATTTGGTGCCCAACTGCCATCATCCAGTCATTCTTACCTCCGTCCTTCAATGTATGAGAGAATATTAAAAAGACTTTGTTGTCAGCTTGGAGAAGAGAGAGGAGATCCAAACATTTCTCTAAATCTTCTACTGTCATCTTTTCTTATTTTGTCACCTGAGCCTTGTCCCTCATGCTTGCACAGAAAAACCTCAAAGATTTGCCACGGAGTTAGTCTGCTCGTGGTTTCCACTTGATTGATACAATAAATAAACAGCTGTGACAGTTTGTAAGTTAATAACGAAATTAAACTCTTATGATGACTTTCTAAATATTTTTATGTACACCATCTTACAGTTCTTTCCTATGGATATTCTTGTCTGCTGCTTGTAAGGCCACATTTTAAAAACTTATTGTAATGTTTTATGTAAATATATAAAGAATATTTGATGGCTAATATCTGTAATGACATTTATCTTCAGAAGCATGTTGTCTAGCTCCTGTGCTCAGATAAATGTCATAGGAGATCTGTCTCTATGGTATAGACACAATGTAAATACGTATATATTTACCCTCCTGATGTTTTTCAGCAGGGAAGCTGCTCCTGATGAGCCAAAGCACAGAAAAGAAAGACAGGGGAAAATGAGGAGGAATAAACCCCCTCATTTTGGGAACACAGGAATGGTAGGTTCTGCATGCTGTTTGACTGGTACTACTTTGTAGACTGTTTACCTTCACTGAAACTTACATACCCATATTCTCCACACTAACCATTATAGCAACTGTAGGGAAAAACAAACAAACAAGCAAACAAAAAACCCCCTACAAAACATCATCAGTCTTTGGATCTAAATATTATAGAAATTGAAAAACAATAATGGAGGTTGAAAGGAAATAATTAAAAACTGTCACAGAGGTATCACATAGCTTTTGCTCCCCATGTATTTGACACATGACCTGAAAGTAAACCCAGACAAGACTTGGAAAGCAGGAGAATAGCCATGCCGGCTCCGTAGGTGGGTGCTCCCACTGGGTTTCCCTGCATGGTTTTGGCCAGACACAGCAGCACCAGATACAAAAAAAAACCCATGGAAACTTTCTGTACTTTTGCTGGGCTGGGGATGCTAAACCAAAGCAAACGCTTCCCTCCCATAATGCCAGCCATCCCATGCACCCCTCCTGCCCGCATAACACACCCAGGCATGAAACAGGCTCCTTGAAACAACTGACAGATAAGGAATAAAGCAGAAAAAAAATTCAAGAATCACTTTGCATGGCTACATTGAATAAATGTGCAGTTATCTACTTGCAGGCAATCATGAGGAAAGTGGGAAAGATCTTCAAATAAAAGGGTTTATTATGAATTATTTGCTCAGATCAGTTATTCGTTCTGAGGCCCAGTCTTCTATTTGGCCTCAGGACAAAAATCAGCAATAAGGCATAAATGTTAATATATGTATCATCTCTTTCATTAACTTAAAAAATATAAGTAGGTAGATAACACCAAACTATATTATATGAAGGAAGCAACTGCTCTGAACTATTGTAAGCAACATTGCCATTTCAAACCATTAAATAGAAATGCTTCTGCCTATAATTTTCAATCAGCCACCATATTGTTCAAAGCAGCTGACTGACAGCATAAGCACCATGTAAGTACCATATCCTCGCATTTTATTCAGGAAGGAAATGAGAGCATAAAGCTTTTGGTGCTAGAATAAGTTGATGGATTGATTTAGCAACACCAGGGACATACTGTGCTCAGATATGACTGCAATTGCCCAATTATCTCATAAGTGACAATGATTTCCAAAGATTTGTGATAAACACATGCTAAAGATGTGAAACCCCACCCTTTCCCCCCACTTCCTTTCTAATTATAATTCTCACTTGGAGGCAGATCCTTGACTTTTGGGATACAGAAACATTCACGAAGATGCTTTAACTCATCTTCTTCATCTAAGTGAAAAGCAAGTTTCTTGTCTGCAGGACTGCATCCTAGCCGCAAGGCAGTTTGTTCTAAAATGGTTGCTGGTAACACAGGAGAAGATGAATCCATTTTCAGGTCATTCAATTTCACCTTAAAATGAAAAATGCCACAGTTTAGCTTCTGCAGTATGCATATTCACAAGTGGCTGATAAACAGCCACTAAGGCCACATTGTTCAAGACCAAAATTTACTTGATTTAAAGCTTTTAAAAAGGGAAGTATTTGAATAATGGTAAAACTGATCAATTCAAGTATTACCAAAGCAACATATTGCTGTAACCCCCAAACACCTTTTTTTTTTTTTTGTAGACACAATGCTCTTCCCCTTATAAGCTATATCAGCAGCTTCTGAGTTCTCCCACCAGACCGACAGCAGTTACAAGCACTAAAATGTCATTCACAATTTTGAGATCTCAAAGCCAGAGACAGTATTATTGTTTTTGCAGTCTCTGCTCCTGAAAATAGCAGGTGCAAACTACACTGAAGGTGTTTCCAGGCTGTGTAACGTTCAGCCTCTTCCAACTTTTCTGCCTTAAAAAATAGGAGGATGTATTTGTGTACAGCCGTGCTCAGGTACAAGGGCAGGATACACATGACAGACAGAGACATCACTACAAATGTAGATTTCAAGACCAGAACCTTTAATTAATATTTCCTTCTAGCTATACCAAATATCCTGGTGCTTTAGCTGTTTGTCTTGGGGAAGAAGTCAAGCTGCACACATGACAGATCATAGGTTCTAAGAGGATATCCAAAACTAACTGCAAAATTTACAAGCTCATTGATCTTGATATGAAATGGAGTTATGTACCTGTAATGCTCAGAGACATACACCATGATGTTCAAGATAGCACTGGTGCACTTGACTTTACAAATATATTGGCAAAGAAAATTTATGACATGTGCTCTGCACTTCAGGGCAAAACTTTGCCAGTGCTGCCTGCTGCGTCCTGTTGCAGAAGGAAGGGGTTCATTGAGGTGCTCGTTGGTTGGCCCAGTTTAGGAAACTGTATAGTTAGACAACAATCCCTGCCTTTCAAACATCCCCAAGAGTTTTGGTACAATAGAAAAATGTTATCATATAGGCCGAAATAGGGCAGATTAGCACATAATATGCAGCTCAGAGCCACCAGAGAATATGGCTTTTTCCCTCTGCTTGAGAAAGAAAACTTTTAAGTACATAACCTCCGTAAGTACCAGCTATCTTTTCTTAAAGACAGGAGTATACTACAGATAGTTATCCAGGAAGCTATGGATAGAACACGGACAATTATGTGGGTTGTAGCCAACTGAGCATTACATTCATTGTCACTTAACCTAGCTTGTTTTTTTTTTGTAGAAGAGGGATTCTTAGAATGAGTGTGATGGCATATTCCGTTTGCTTTGTTTGTTTGTTTGTTTGTTGTAAAACCTTTATGATACATTTGTCTTAATTATTTCACAATGAATCCATAAATGCAGATTAGAGTTTTTTAATCAAAATTTTTATGCCAACCTCTCAAGACCACCTAGGAGAGCTTCACTGATACATAATGGAAGGACAACAGTTGGCATTGAAATATAAAGCCTTAGCAAGCACATCCTCATTAGTATCAATTGAACCAAACCTGTTTAGCCAAACAGCCAGCATGGTGCTAGTTACCTGGTTCAGTTTTTTATCATTTAGTTTACGATAAGAACGTTTTCTTTTTCCTCTGCAAACTCAGTATCTTACACAGTAGCAGTTTTTCCTTTCCCACTAGCAGAGTTAAAAAAAAAATAAAAACAAACAAACAAAAAAGCCAGTTGAGCTCTTTAAGACCACAGTTTTCATTTAGCTAATGTTCACCTTTCCTGGGAGTTACTGGAGATATTCTATTTTTGTGCTGTCTCCACACAGGTTTTTCACACCTTCTTATTGTCACCAAATTTATCATTCCCACTCATTCATCCTAATCATCCCTTAGCTGGTAAAAAGGAAAATAAAACTGCAAAAAATACTTGAAAAAAGATATCTTAACATCTTGTTTCTCAGAGTGCTTTTCAAGGTTTCTAAGAGGCAGAGGGCTGCACCCAGACAAGCAGTTGGGTGTGATGCTAAAGTGCCTGAGCTGGCTGGAATCAACACATGCTAGGGTCATGGACACTACAGCCATCACTGATACAGGCACATGGTTATAATGTAAAGACACTGTAAGATAACTTCAGTTTCACTTCTTCAAATTACCAATTTTAAGAACCCATGAGCTTAATAAGTAAATCAGGGTTTCTTTTCAAGAAATCTTGAAATAGGAACTTGGAAAGTAAAACTACTTTTTGTTTCCAAGGCCTTATTTCTTTGATTTACAATACTAGCATGGGCATTCTGATTAAAGCTTGTCCACTACATACTCACACAATCAAGATATAGTCCTCTATTTTTAATAATGAAAATTTAACGAAAATTATGGCATCAATCCTTGGAGAAGGGGCTGGAATTCAAGTCTCGCTGTCTTCTTCCAGATAAAAGGACCACACAGTAGTCTGTGCAGTCTTTTCTATATAGGCAGAAAACCCTTCCCACCTGAGCTAATGTCTTTTTTTGCTCCCCAGTGACATAGCTCCTGAAATACAAGGAGTCATCCTGAAGTAAGAGGAGTCATCCTTTAACCTCTCTAAGCATATAGCTCACTTGAGTTAGGAATATTTGTTCAGTGATGCTCACTTCCCCTAGTCCCTAAGAGAGAGACCAGGCAGTGCTGATACTCCTATCACTCATGTTGTCTCCTGTACACAGCCTATGAGGAAGGCTTGGGATCCTCTAATGTTTATCTCCTGGGGTCCACACAGGCAATGCCAGCTAATTCCCCTGTAATTTATGATCAGGAGGTGGGGTATAAGGGTGCTTGAAGGACAGTTTGGTTCTGTACACCAGATCAATCTCATCTGGTCAGTAGATTCTCTGCTTACACCATGTGAACAGAGCACAGCATCCTAATATTTGTCTTACTATTCACAATTTTTCAGTAATGACACAAAGTTATTACAGTGGATTTATGACTGTCATATTCCAGGTCATCCACTGACCTGTCTGGCAAGCATAGATGGGTTCTGTTTCCATTTGAGGCCTGACCCAAACCCCAGTGAAGTCAGTAGGTGTCTCTATTATAGACAAAACCTTCTGGGTCAGGCTTTTGGTTCCCTGTCATTGCTGTAGTTTGCTGCATCTGATCAATGACTTACATTTACTGTGATTCTTATTTATATTAAATTTTGACAGCAAATATAATAACAAATACAAAAATCTAGAAGCCAAAAATGATTAAGTGCTCAGAGGTATCTGATTTAATACAAACATTATGAAATAAGATAAAACTACTAAAATAAAATCAATCAAAATCCTATTGAGGAATGAAATCCCAGAGATCCAATTCTGAGACCAGAATAAGAAAATATTTTTGCCTTCGAATGGGAATTAGGCTTCACAGAGAGGGAATACTGAAATTGCTTGGGTTTTTAGATTTTTTTTTTTTTCTGACTTTGTTGGATTTTTAATTGCTGAAGAAGAGAGTCCCATGAGATAATTTTACAGTAGTTCATGAGACATTTGTTGGTTTCTACATGTAGAGGAAATACATTTGTATAAGAACAGCACACCTTTATTCTATCCAATTATCTTCATTTAGCCAAAAGCTATATTCTGTATCCTCTTCAAATTAAAATTCAGACCCATCAGTCTAAAATGTAATTCCCACCTTGAGAATCATAGAATTATAGAGTGCTTAGGGTTAGGGTTGGAAAGGACCTTAAGAGCATCTAGTTACAACACCCCTGCCAAAGGCAGGGATGCCTCCCACTGGGCCATGTCACCCAAGGCTCTTCCCAACCTGGCCCTGAACACTGCCAGGGATGGAGCATTTACCACTTCTTTGGACAGTCTGTTCCACTGCCTCACCACCCTCACAGTAAAGAACTCCTTCCTTATATCTAACCCGAACTTCCCTTGTTTAAGTTTAAACCCATTTCCCCTTGTCCTATTGCTACAGTCCCTGATAAAGAGAACCTCTGGTATCCTTGTAGGCCCCCTTCAGGTACTGGAAGGCTGCTATGAGGTCTCCATGCAGCCTTCTATTCTCCAGGCTGAGCAGCCCCAATTTTCTCAGCCTGTCTTCATATAGGAGGTGCTTATCATCCTCGCGGCCCTTATCATCCCCCTGATCATCCTCGTGGCCCTCCTCTGGAGTTGTTCCAACAGTTCCATGTCCTTCTTATGCTGAGGACACCAGAAGTGTAGTCTCACAGAGGTAAGGCTGACTGGTCTGTAGTTCCCTGGGTCTTCCATTTTCCCCTTCTTGAAAATGGGGGTTATATTTCCCTTTTTCCAGTTGTCAAGAACTTCATCTGACTGCCACGAGTTTTCAAATATGATGGACAGTGGCTTAGCAGTTTCATTCACCAGCTCCCTCAGGACCTGCAGATGGATTTCATCAGATCCCCTGGACTTGTGCATTCAGGTTCTTAGGTTCTTGCACCTGAACATCTCCTACAGTGAACCTCAGGTCTTAGTCTCATAGTCCCTGCATCTGCCTTCCAAGTCTTGAGGGGCTTGGCTAGAGCACTTACCTCTGAAGACTGAGGCAAAGAATTCATTGAGAACCTCAGCCTTCTCCAAATCCAGGGTAGCCAGTTCTCCCATTTCCTTCCAGAGAGGGCCCATGCTATTTCTAATCTGTTTTTTGTGAGAAACATACCTATAGAAGCCTTTCCTGATAATTGCTGATATCTTTGAAGTCCCTGGCCAGACTCAATTCTAACTGGGCCTTAGCTTTCCTGACCTGATCCCTAGCTTCCTGGACAACATCCCTGTTATTCTTCCCAGGCCACCTGTCCTCACTTCCACTTTCTATAAGCTTCATTTTTCCTTCTGAGATTCCTCAGCTGCTCCTTATCCATCCATGAAGGTCTCCTGGCCTTACCCCATTTCCTTCTTGTTGGGATGAAAAACTCCTGAGCTTGGAGCAGGTAATCCTTGAATATCGGCCATCAGCCCTGCCCTCCAGGGCTATATCCCATGGAACCTTACTGAGAAGGTTCCTGAAGAGGCCAAAGTCTGCTCTCTTTAAGTCCAGGGCAGCGAGTTTGCTGTGTGCTCTTCTCACTGTCCTGAGGATCTCGAACTTGACCATCTCATGATCCCTGCAGCTAAGGCTGCCCTGGGGCATCAAATAAACACTACTCCTTATCAGGATTTTTTTTAGACAACTTAGAGTAGAAATAGTCACAATTTTAAGTGAAATGACTTGCCTTCACCACTCACTCTAAAAAAAAAAAAAAAAGCATTCAGGTGGTTTTTTTCTTCCTTTCCTTGAAACTTTATTACACTTTGTGATATAATATAGATGACGAAGTCAGCTTTTTTCTGTTTTACTTTGCTCTTTTAACTCTTACAGAGAATTTTCCTGTTCGGCATACTGATACAATGTAAAGAATTCACCAATGTCTGTTGGCAATCTTTCGTTTTCAGAAAGACCACATGCAATTTAAATTAAGGAAACAGTCATTGCTGAATATTTTATGGGCAGATACCAGCCTCACTGCTTCATCTCCCATTTTAAAACTATAAAAGACAATAGGTGAGCATTAGTCAGACACAAGTGACAAATATCCTGTTTTGTCCTTTATGCATAATTTACTGACTGAACAGAAAAACAGGTGTGAATATTAGCAAGCCATCTTACCAAAGTTACACAAGAAGGTCCATTAGGCTTAATTATAAGACTGATAATTTGTCCTACTTTTAGATCCACTTACTACATTTCTATAAATCTACCCCTCTGTCTATAACTGTATATTGATGTCTGTTAAAAAAAAAAAAAACAAAACTGAGAAAACTGTGAAGTCCCCTTGCCCCCCCTTTAACATTTTCTTTAAATATTCCAAGATGTTACTTACAGTCTTTCTAGCCAGAATAGTGATGATAATGAATCCCTGACTAAAAAGCTGTATCAATATCCTCAGAGCAAATGTCCAACGTCCTGCACTTTTTGCCCTCCAACAGTTGTTTAACAGGTTGCTAAATGCAGCTCAGCCGACAAACCTTTGATATTTTCAGGTTAGTGTCCAAATGAACTCTTTGGAAGGAAAACTGGTGGTGTGCACATGTGTAAGCATACAAGTTTGCAGTACAGGTCCATGCTGTCAAAATCTACCCACTGAAAGCACTAATAACACTCTGAATTGGAGTTGCTTTAAAAACCAAAGGAAAACCACAGAAATGCACAGCACACGAGGGCTGATTCTCCTTCCCATCTTCACAAAGACAAAATTTCTTTCATGGGCACAATTTTGCAGAAGAAAGTTCCTACAAAGCATAGCCCAAAGCAGTGAACATTCTAGATTACTTCAGGTTAAATACACTTCAGTGAATTTGTTTAAATTACAGAATTGCAGAGAAAGAAAATCTAAACATTCATAGCTTACCCAACAACAGACACACAACTGTATAATTAAATAAGTTACATAGCACAGTGTCACATCTGCAGCAAGGGAATGTGACAGACAGGAATTATAATAAACTCAGTTACTTAGAGTAATTTAGGCACACATTGACCTTCATGTCAATAAGTGCTATGGTGTTAAAAGTAATTTTACATACAAAACTCAGTTTTCCCCTCCACAGTGAAAGCACATTACCCAGCAGTTGGTAGCTGTCCTGAAAGAGGATGATGAAATTCTTGCGCAAATACTTAGCGTTGCATGAAGAAACAGTCATGTGCCCGCTACTCCAGACTTTGACCCACACAGCAACCAAACATACGACCTCGGAGAGTTAACCAAAAACCAGATGTATATATGTATTGCAGGTTTTGTTACTGTTGTTTTTGGATCCCACCCACCCACCCACCCCCACCTTTGACACCAGGGTAAAATTTAAAGCTCTGATTAAATTAAGAAAGCACTCTTCTCCCATACAGGTACAAGAATACACACATATTTATAATGAAAATGGTTTTAAACCAAAATCTTTCACTTTAGTGGAGGAGCAGATCAATAGCGTAACAGATAGAAGTTAGCAATGTTCACAGCTGCATGACAGTGGTAGGAACTTACAAAGAACATGTATTCACCAGGGTGGAAAACAAAAAAATTAGAGGAGAAATTAAAGAACAAAGCTGATATCTCTCTTTACTCTTTCTACACATTATCACAAACCAGTCGTGTTAGCCCAATCCCCTCAATTCAAACTTGAATGACACCCATTCCTACACATAGCTAGAATGCAATCATCTGGAAGCAGCACAAATAGTTTTGTTCTACTCAGCCTCTGAAGTTGGGGGGGGGGGGGTGATGGCCAGGGAAACAGAAAAAAAAAACAACACATGAGGAGAAATAGAGAACTATGGGGGCAAAGTTGTCAGAGTCGTGGACTAAAAATGTAATTTTGAGATACAACTATATCCTGGCGTCCTGCATGCACAGAACCCAGCAGTAATGCTTGTTTATTATCTGCATTTCCATTTTAAGTAAGCACCAATATATTTTACACTCTTGAGCTGTAACTTTTCATCTTTGCTAGAAAACAACACAACAATCACACAGAGCACTTAATATTGACACAAAATAAAGCTAACCTCTATCCATCAGTTCTTGGAGTATTGTTACCCTGTTTTGCACTGTCAGATGATTTTTTGTACTTCCCACTAACTTCTTGTGTTCACTCCACCAGCAAGACAGCAGGACTGCTGCTCAGGAAACTGTATCACAAGGAATTCGGGCTAAGAAAGAGAAGCAGGAGGTTGAGGCACTTCAGCTACTGAGGCAAGAGGGATTCAGTGTCTAACTAATCCCAAAAGAGTATTTATTTCTTGTTTAATTGGCTATTTAGGTCAATCCAAGACAAAATGCACTGCAACTTTTTGTTTTGCCTGTGGAAATAAAATTATACAAACAATAGAGTGAAAATTTTCCCACTGCATTTTCCTGAATTTTACCTCTGATTGTCAATGGTGGCAGGAAAGCAGCTAGCTTGCAAAGGCCACATGTTTATAGACTTTCATGAGAGTAGGAATATTGACCCCCTTCTTCCCACCTATTCTTCCTAACTCTTCAGATGGAATGAAAGAAAAACAAAGAAAAAGACCGTTGCCCTTAAATTCAAGGCTCAAAAATCAGAAAACATTTCTTCTTGGGACTTTTATTTAGCTGCAGAACTAATCTAGAGGTCTGCATTTTTTTTCCCGTGATGCTGTGAAGCAACCAGAGGCCTGGTAAGGGAGGAGGAGGTACTGCAAGCCACAGGGAGACCAGTGTATAAGGAGGTAAGGCCACAAGAGACAGCCCTAGTCCCAGCCCGCACTGGCTGATGAGGCTGAGAGAAGGCATGAAGCTCAGTATAGGGCAGCCCTGCCATCACCCTCTCAAAGGAGCTGTTAGGTGAGTGATGGAGAGGCAGTGATATTTGACAAGACATTTTAGAGGAAAAAAAAAAAAAAAAGAAAGAAAATGAAATGAAAATAAAATTGAAAAAAGATTTGCAGATTTTTGGGAAGATGAACTCCATGTGTCTGGAAGCAAGGGTTGTATGGGGTACATGGAACAAAGAAAGAATTAAGGGTTGGACAAGCAAACACATTTCTCATACCAGCAGTTTCCCTGGCTCATTCAGACAAGGTGCTTAACCATGTTAAGCGACTAACTGCCAGACACATCCACAAGCATGCTGATACTGCTTTATCTCATCCTTCACCCTAAACATTATGATACCCGCCTAGCATTCGTCACTGCCAGCTCCAGGCTCACTGAAGCACGTTTGAGCCCTTGTCATGGAAGCATTGTCCCCTGACTGAAAGAAACTGTGTGAGCTTTTCCACAGGAACACCAATAAAGCTTGTAATAAATAAATTTTATAAAACACATGCCTTCTTCTCAAGATATGTGACAACAACAAAAAACCAACGGTGCCCTAAAGCAAGCTACTCCATGCCAGGGGGGATGCCAGGACACATGGTTCATCAGTCATGAAAGCTTGCCTTGTCCCTGCTAGCCCAGAGCACTTTCAATGGCAAGAGATTAAAGTGATCCAGAGTTAAGTGATTTTCATGTAAAGAAAAACAACCGTAACTCCCCTCAGCTTTGATAACTCCATGGTAGCTGCAATAGCAAAAGAACATATTTTGAATAGATGAAATTTCCTTGTATCTCTCCAAGTTAGCAGCTACTAATAAAAGATGACTGTACTTCTGATGCTCTCACCAGCATTTCCAGGCCACATGCACATACACATATGTTTTAAAAGCCTCTTTCTATAAGGAATGGTTTATCACCGTTAAGGTTTTTAAGGGATAAGAGTTTTTTTTCTTTTTTTTAACTCTTGTCAAATATTTGGTCTTAATGTTTGCTTTGGACACTGAGAAGATTTTAAGCTGTTTTTACCAAACACAGGGACAGGAGGGCCATGTGTCTGTCCCTTCCCAAGGGAGCAGTAGGATGACAGCCAAGGGTAAAAGCAAAATGGGGAACCTGGCACCCACTTTTCTCATGGCATCTACTTGCTATGCTTTGCACAATCTTCTTAAAAATAAACGTGAGTGCTTTGGAGATAGATTTCCAGCAAATGTCCCAGTTACTCTTTCTTCATTGTCCTCTCAAACACAGGTAAAGGTGCTTGTATATCAGATACAGCCTCTTTCTATATAGCCACTGTTTCATCTACAGGCCCTCACCTGCCAAATGACCTCCTGTGTACCCAGACTCTCACAGTACAAGAGAATTTTCAATTTCTTCATCTACTTGTAGCACATTTCCTGCCTGTGGTCAGAGTTTCTGAGAAAGAGGAAATCAGTGACAGGCCAGATGCAATGAGATAACAATAACAAAACTTTATTGAGAAGCTCTCTGTAATACCTGAACTTTCATTTCTCTTAAATATTTGTGTACCATGTCTTTTCTGATGCACTTCATACCACTTCAGGTTGACTGATAGCTGAGGACATTAACTGAACTGAGGTAGATAAACCACCCCAGTGCATTTTCCCTCCTTCCTTTGCCACCTGTTTGCAGCTCCATAAAAGTGAATGCACTTCACACTTTCATTTTTATTTTTAAGCTCCTGCAGCAATTACCATCTGGAGCAAGATTCAGGGAGAGAAGAAAGAAGAAAAGACAGGTCAGAAAATAACAAGCTAAGCTTTTACTAAACATGTATTTACATAAATAAATAAATAAATAAATATTAATGAGAAGCACCATGTGGATCCAGACTCTCTAAAAGCTGAAACTGCAATGACATGCGGTGACTGATTTAAATAGTATGCTACTGTTCTGTATGGCCTTGAAGCAGTAGAGGAAGCAATATTACATAAAGGATCATGACAGGCAGCAAACTGGTGCGTGACACCTGAGGGAGGCCACCATTAAAAGTCAGCAGTTACTTAGGCAGGGGATATATTCACACATGTTCTGCGATAAGAAACTTATTTTGCAGTTTTCTATCAGTGGGTGTTTAACAGCACACATTCAAACAGCAGTAGATCTTTTTGGCAAAGCTGAAATTCCTGGAAAATACTATAACACCAAATAACACAAGAAAACCAACAAGCTCCTGCATTAAGGCCACCGAGGCACAACATTGCTCTTGCAAGGGGACAGAGGTGAGGAGAAAACATTGCCCTTTATTCACAAACCCTGCAGGTTCTGAAGGATCTACAGATAAGTACCAAACTCTTTCTAGAACTAATACAACCCCCTGTGCCACTCAGAGGAGCCTTTTGACATCCATACACTCACTCCCTCCCTGGCCCCAGATTTAAACCTCCCAGCCCTCCCTAGCTGCAGATTTTATCTTTGCTTGATTTGCTAATAAATTGATTATGCAGCATATCAGACACTATCTAGCCAAGCTCTAAATGAAGTTTTGCCAATACCCAACTTCCTATCAATATCTATAATCCCTAAATAACCCTCTGCTTGAATCCCCTTTTGCAGGCAGTGACTCAGCAGTCTCAGGGCTCCTATTAGTATTCTCAGAGAGTTTTCAGAGCATTTTAAATGTACTGTCTCACTTGTGCTGTGATTAGACCTATCAGTTTGTGGTGAATTGCTCTGAGGA